TTTTCTTTTTTCTCCATATTTAATTCCATGAGGAAACTTTAATAATATATATGTTTGTGTGTATGTGTGTATGTGTATGTGTAATAAAAATATAGTTTTAGGTTATTTTAAAAGAAGTGTCGACACTGAATAGCGACAGTGTTGTCCGAAGTCTGAAGCATGCGTTCAAGCACAAAACAGTCTTTCATATCAATGTCCACACGTTTAATTACATACATATATATATATATATATATATATATATATATATATATATATATATATATATGTTGACGATACTTTTGATGTATCTATACCCATACACACATAAAAAACACACGTAAGCACACACACTGTTGCAATTAATATATAAATTATTTTAGTATGGAATGAATTTATGTGTTAAATAATTTTAAAATAAGGGGAAGAAGGTTTTGAATTTAATCTTTTTTTAAAAAAATTTTCTAACATTTTTATAGTCATATATGTTGGCTTGAGATAGGAGTAAATAAATCCGGGACGCAGATTTATATATTGATAAATACAAAATCGACGTTCTCGAGAAATTTCCGTCTAAGTAAGTTACTTTCTCTTTTAAACATATAAATTTATCTCATCTGTATAATAAATGTCAATGTCAGTGTGTCACACTTTTTCAATTAAAGGGACACAACTCTCAATAGCTTATCTCCATCTTCCATATAATAAATACTAATGTCAATGAGTCACTGTGCCACAATTTTTCCACTTTACTCCTAGATGCCATACCCCAACATATACCATTTTGGAATCACGCCGACTCAGTGAACAAATTAAAAACATTCCGAGTCGAATCCAGACCCGCAAAACTGAAATTTTGGATTCCCAAGTTTTCATTACTGCAACTTTTTACGTAATTTTTGTGATGAATTGTTTTGTACGATAAGAATTCTATAACTTGGAAATAAATTTGTGAATAATCGAAATTAATTGCGAAGTACAGTGAAAGTCATCGACGAAATCAAAAAAATTGTTTATACGGAAAGTACCTACGCACATCAAATTGTATTTAAATTAAGTGTCGGCAGAAGAATTATCGTTGAACTTTTAAAAGGTAAGTTTGAATATTAAAACAATTCGTAAATGCAGCGATCAATTTTGAGTTCTTCTGTAGTTCATTGCTGCCGATTGCATCTACTCCTCCCTACCTGTTGTGATGAAAATCCAATCAAGAGCTCTCTGCAGAAGGCAGTTTAAATGTCACTTTTAAGCTAGTACTAAAATAATTAAAATATTATAATTTATAATTTGAAAATTCAACATCATTTGCTCACTTTCAATTGTTTGACATTAAATTACGTCACTTTGCAGGTTCAGTTTCCTCAACTCATGTACTAAATTTGTTATAACTGATCCATACACAGAGGTATTTCAAGCGTTTATTATTTACTAATTCTAGGTCATGAATTTTTATATGTTCAATTTAGGTACTGTCACTGATTTCATTCCAATTCCAGATCATAGGTTTTGTTCTAGAAATTTTTATCTTTGGTCCTCTTTCTTGGAACACTTGACAGAAGATATTGATTTTTTGTTCATGATCATTGTTATCCTAACTATGTTTACCTATATCATCGACATAACCTCCATATCATCAATATATTGGCCCCCGGGTGAAAAAGCAGGGTCTCTGTTTTCTGATAATAGATTCTTTTGGGAGGTGATATAGAAATGCTTAAATAGTCAGTGCTCAGCGGTTCACATCTCTGATTATAAATGCGCGGGTATATATTGGAGAAAAAGATTAAATATATTGGTGCAAACTTTTCCTCCGCGTCGTACTCGTGATAAGGTTTGAAATGTTTCCTTGTCAGGGAATCTTGCCAATATTTTTTAAATCTATTGAGTTCATTCAATCTGGGCATGACGATAAACTACACCCAGCAGCAAGGCCTCTGATCGAGAGGTTTTGAGGAGCGTGGAACCACCTCTTATTTGCTGTTGTTCCCAGTTCCACTCTGACTCGGGGTGGTAGCACCTGTTAGGGTCCCAGCTATGGGCAAATAGAGAACCAGCAAACTGGATCAAAACACTATGAAAATGTATAAATACATTTTTATAGTGAAGGTGTCAGCAATATATTTTCATAGTAAAAATTACCAACAATACGTTTTTGTAAAATAAATTAAAAAAATATTACCAGCAATAGATTTTTTAAGCGTTTCACCCCAAGCAAGGCGGGAAGCCACTAACACGCAAGGGGTTATAGAGAGTTGGAGCAAATAGGAGTGATAGGGAAAAGGATGAATTGAAGGATAGGGGATAGATCAGGGCATCTGGAAACATCGATTGACATTACATTTGAATAGTTGGAGATTATAGTTATCAGGGAAACAGGAAGAGAGGAAAGAGTTCTACAGGCGAGAGGTGCGAGACATGAAGCTATTGGAAAAAATATTACCAACAATACGTTTTTGCAAGGAAAAAATTTATCAGCAATGTATTTTTGTAAAAGAAAAATTGCCAGCAATATATTTTGTAAAAGAAATTACAAATGTTCCAAAGAAAATTAAATTTCGGCATTAAATGACCCATAAGGATGTTGATATGCCGTTCAAAAAACAAACACAAAACAAAAACAAAACAAAAAAATAAGATCGTTCAATGGATTCGGAGTTTGGTAAGCAGTTTCTAATGGTTGAGTAGAGGAAGTCTCTTTTTATGTGGTCATATACTGCTGCGAGGTCAACACACACACACACATACACACACACACACACACACACACAGACACGTACACAGACACACACAATCACACACAGACATACACACACACACACTTATATATAAACTTAAAGTTTAGTGCGCAACCTTCTCTATGCCGTTGACTGATCTGTTCGCACACACAATTCAGCACGCACATGAGTTCATGGGTCGACTATCAGAGTCATGTAAAGATTTTGGACTGTCCATCAGACTTTACAATACAGTGGTGATATATTAACTTGCCCGATCAATTCAGTATATAGAGCCATCAATTTATGGATGATGGTAGTTGACTTTGGGTAATAGATAAACTTGTATACCTTGGCAGCATCCTCAACCGCCACTGCTCCCTTGATGATGAGATAGCGTTACGGATTAAGAAGGCCTCCGATACATTTGTAGCACTCAAGTTCCGTGTCTGGAGTCAAAAGGACATAAAAAAGCAGACAAAAATTAAAAAATTAAAAATATATAATGCCTGCGTTATGTCATGTCTGCTATATTCATGGACATGGGTAGTCTGTCGCAGAAACGTTTTCATCAACGATGCCTTCGCTCTGTGCTTGAAATCCACTGGATGTCTCACACTCCTGATACTGTTGTTCTAAAAAGGGCCAATTCACTCTTTGTGGAAGCAGTTATGCAGAAATACAGGATGCGATGAACAAACCATGATATTCGTATGGCAGATGACAGAATGCCAAAACAATTAATGTATAGAGAATTGGAAATGGGAAAAAGACCGCAGCACAAGCTAAAACTTCGTTACAAAGATTGCCTTAAAGAGTCATTATACAAGTGCAATATTGGTCTGGATAACTCGGAGACTCTAGCTGAAGACCGGGTTTCTTGGTGAGCTGGTATTGCTGAGGCGTCAAGATCTTCCATGAGGCATTCCAAAAATATGCTGAACTAAAGATCGGGGTTCGGAGGGCGTCCCTGAATTGCCATGAGGTGCCAACCTGTCCATGTGTCCAATTCAATCGGATTTGTCGATCCAGGGCAAGTCTGCTCAGTCACCAGAAATCACACCAACACTAACATATGACGATTTCGTAATGGCATGCTTTGAATGCCTGAACTGCACTAGGGTGTGCAAGTCCAAGTCCACGGCATATAAAATGACACAATAGAAGTGATGGTGATCAAAGTCACTTCCGAAGATGATTTGATATGCCACATATATAACAAGAAATGCAGATCAATGTCTCTCTTGATGAGCCACTGTTATTCACACAACCAATAAATGCAATGTTGTGGCGGGGGGAGTTTAACTGATGAACTGGACATGTCAATGATGATTATACTCACTTTTTGAGTTGACAGCCACTATATATATATATATATATATATATATATATAAGATCCCAGAAGTTTTTCAGTTTGAGTTTGAATGTAACATCTTCGAGAAGTTTGTTCTATCTTGTGTCGGATTTGCTAGTCATCTAAGATCGCATGAAAATCGTCAGTCTGATGCCGATTACGTGGATGTCCTTCCTGACAGATCTGCAGTGTACTTATGTCAGATTCGTGATAAAATTTGCAGGTCTGACGCTGGGCGGAAGAGACGAGAGTGCACGAGGATAAAGTCACTTTCAAGACACTCCAAACGCCAGTCGTGTGTCAAAAAGTATGTAGGGGCGAAGCTAGTTTGCACTGTCATCTGTAACCCCATGGCCGCTCAGTTGAAGAGATGAACTTTTTCTGTAAAGAAGTGGCATTTATCAAGTGTGTGTGTGTGCGTGCGTGTGTGTTTGTGTGTGTTTGTGTGTGTGTGTGTGTGTGTGTGATGTCCTTTGCTACATTCAGTGGCCTGGCGAGGCAGGTCAGTAAGACGTAATAATGCCCCGTCGGCTGCGAGATTAAGTATAAGTGATATCATGTGATATGAAGATGCCCGAATGAAAGAAGACGATATACGCCGATTAGTTCCTATCTCTTAGCTGGGGAGTAGCAGTGAGAAGCTGACACAGGCAAACCATTTTGAAAAAGCTGTGCAATCTAAACTCCGGGTGAGGTGACGGTAGCGGATTTGATGTCGCCAGATAATCATTCCATTCAGAAGAAATGACCAGAGGAGAAACTTTGCTTTTTGTTCAATGTTTTCCCCTCCATCTTAATTATTTATTTTCTATATTGCGTACTACAAATAAAGAAAAATTGTCTCATGCATTTATGAAATCCTATAAGACAAAATCATTGTTAAACAGGATAAAGGAAAAGAAAAAAAGAATAATCTAATGTATTTGACAAACAAACCGATATTAAACGATCACCTACGCATAGAGAAAAATAAAGAGAGAGAGAGAGAGAGAGAAGGTAAGAAAGAAATAGAGAGAGGGAAAGAAAGAGAGGGAAAGATACAGAGAGAAAAAGAAAGAATAAAAAGGAGAGAAAGAAGAGGAAAATGAGAATGAGAGAAAGAGAAAGAAAAACGGAGAGTAAGAAAGAGATAGAGAGTGAGAAAGGAAGAGAAAGAGGCAGGGAGAAATGGAGAGAAAAAGAGAGAAAGAAAATGAGAGTGAGAAACAGAGAAAGACACAGCGAGAAAGAATGAGTGAAAGAGAGAGGGAAAGAGGGGGTGTAATCTCCGCGAAACACTTAGTCGTGTCAAGAAAAATGAATAATTTTATTTATTAATATTAATATATCTTTTAATGTGGAGCATTATAAATTTAAAGACTGTCCTTAAAAAGTTATCTCCAAGCAATACTTTGGTCAGCCATCGTTTTTTTCATTTGGCAAAACTGTTGGGGTGTAAATAAGACACCCCAACTAACACAAACGAATTAGGCAAGACGCCTTAAATAAAGAACTCAAAGTGAGTGCGTAGAATTTCGCCGGAGTCAGTCCTAGGCTTGCGACAAGACAAGAGCTCTGTCTTCGAACAGAGGGTGACTCAATCTGGACTGTCTTCGGACAGAGAGACGGCTGAGAAAAAATAGACAAGTTGGAGTCAGGCAGTCCGCTCTCTAGCTTACTACTGACAAGACCTGTCTTCAGGGAGAAGGTGACAGACAGGGTTCTGTCTTCGGATAGAGACTCAGCTGAGAAAAGAAGACCAGTACTGTGCTCGAGCCCGTTTTTGCGGGGATTGGGTAAATTTTGACCAGTGGCTCGGGTGGAAACGCTCGGGTTCCCCACAGTAAACTTATGACCTTGTGTCGCATCTTGACCGCAGTGGGACGACCGGTAAATACCATTCCGTCGGAGTCAGGCAGTTCGCTGCCTGTCTCGCGATTGCCAAGTTCTCGGGCTGATTATGACTCAGTCGGGCCTTTGTCTACGGACGGAGACTCGGCTAAGAAGAATAGACAATGCAAAGTGCCTGTTCCCGCGGTTGTGGGGCCTGGGTAAATTTTAACCATTGGCCTGAGTATACACGTTTGGGTTCCCCACACTAAACTCTCCCTTACGTCAGATTTCGTCTCACCGGGGAAACTGGGTAAATACCAATCCGTTGGAGTTGGTCGGAGAGAATTCTAATGACCTCAGTGGAAGTAGACTAAGCAAGTCATAATATTATAACCGTTGAGTGATTTATAAACAAAATACAATCTTTAAAAGTTTACAGTAGATGGCACTGTGTTGCCATTTAGACTAGATTTCATTTGTCATTCGTGTACATTTATGGTTAGTATGTCTTCAACGTTTACGTGCGTAGTAGTGAGTTAACTGAGAAGTGTTTTGTTTGACAATGGCAAGATATTCATATTGTGGGCAGTCAGATATGATTTTTACATACTGCCGCTCGAATGGTAATGGACGCGACGCTACACGGCTGTATCAAATTGCGTTTCCAGATCGAAGTTAGCCTAGTCATCCAATCTTTTCTGCTGTTTATCATCGCGTTGCTGAGACAGGATCCGTGTCACTCCAAACTATAGATCACAGAAGATCGAGATCCGCTCGTACGCTTGACCACGGAGAGTACATTCTACAGGCTGTCGGAGACGATATAGTTATCAGCACAGGTCAAGTGGACCTATATCTCATAGTACCGCATAGAGGGTACTTCAAGAGTATCTCCTGTATCCGTATAATTTGGAACATGTGCAGGGTCTTTCGCCCTCTGATCACTCACCACCGGAGAACTTTTGTCGACTGCGCAAACTGCTGATATGTTGTTTGTCGCTCTAGTCTTGTTTACGGATGAGACAACATTTGGAAGAGTTGGAGTAATATATTTACACAACCAACATTTGTGGAAGAATCACAATCCCCATGGTACAATACAGGTTAGACACCAGTATCAGTTTACGATTAATGTGTGCTGGAATTGTAGGTGACTATCTGGTAGGTCCATATGTTCTTCCAGCACGTCTTACATGAGCTGTCTACAGGGACTTTATTTCGAACACACTTCAAGACCTGCTAGTGAATGTAGGAAGATGCATGTAGTTCATGAATGATGGGGCTCTAGTACACATTAGTTACATTGTTAGCGATGCACTGTCTGACATCAACCATGAAAGATGGATAGGTAGGGGAGGACTGGTTCCCAGGGCCTGCACGTTCCAACGGCCTCAATCTTTTGAAATTTTATCTGCAGAGCCACCTTAAAAATTTATTTATGCAGCAGACATTAATAATGCAGAGACGCTTCATGAAAGTGTCATGGGGCTTGCAAAATCATTCGACACCGTGTGGAAGTATTTGAAAGTCTCCACCAGTCAATGATCCGACAGGAGCATGCGCGTTTAGAAGCAAACAGAGGACATTTTGAACATTTGTTGCTGTGTTGAGTTACAACGATGACCTTTTGGTTTAAGTTTATATGTACATTTTACCTTGTTTCGGTGTGAGGAACCAACCCCCATATTTTGTAAAAATATTTTTGGATTGACTTTTGGATTGTGCATTCAATAACGTCGACTGTAATCTTAATAACTCAAAAACAAAAAAAATTGTATTTTTGATACACCATATATATATCTGTATGTGTCTGTGAGTGAAATTATAAGTTCTTTTATTTTTGTTTTAATTTGACATGTTTTATCGATGAGTCAGTGTCATGAAAAAAAAGCATTTTTACATCAATGAAACACACACACATTATATGTGAGAGTGTGCAAGAGAACGCTGATTTTCTAAGCAGATGTTCCCCGCTGATAGATTGGCGCAACACACTCTAGATATCTTCATTTTCTTCTTTCTTGTAAGGAATGTGGTTTGGATAATGTTGAAAGATCTGAGTACAGAAGAGAAAATATTAATGTGTTCCAACTTCTAGTTGTTACGATGTCATTAAAGAATGTCTACAATATCATACATTATTCAATTTGGTGTGGTCACTTTATTTCATTAAGAATTAGATCGGATAGACAAATCTATTCTTGTACTCCGGGTAGTCAGCGGCGTTGTTTACATAAGTTTCTGATAATGAAATAAAAATGTTTGAGAGTGATTAGTAAATACTAATGTCTAATTCTCAACACGCAATCTGTCGACTGTGTATTTGACTAGCACTCGCTATTAAAATGAAGGTAAAATGTTACTAATGCAATCTAACAAATATCATCTATGGGACTGGTGTAGTGTGCAGGCGTGTCTTTTTAAAGGTCAAAATATAGAATGCCGATTTTCAAGTCAGGTCTCGATTACAAGTCCCGTTGGGCACCTTATATATTACAATCTTAGCTGCAGTTGGCGTGTTAACGCCAAGATAATCGGACAGTGTCCATCTCCCTTAAGGCTATTTTTGAATACAAAGTTGGATTTCTCATATTCCGGTTGCAGAAAACCGAGACTACAGAAAATACAGTAAATACGCAAGAGCAAGAAAGTGTTTTAAGATAATGATGTGTATTCTCACAAGACTCGTTCAACATTTAGAACGAGGCGATCCTGAGAAAACTGGTCGTCCTAAAAAGATATTTTTACAGGTGAGCACGATCTTAACAACATAACATATGCTCATGACCTAATGCTGATAACAGACACAGGAAGGGAAACTGTAAGAACTACAGAAGGTACTGAAAAGAAAGGATTTGCCATTAAGACACAACGTATTGTCAGCAAGAGGACTTTTTTTTTAATTAGGTGTTGTTCTGCTAGAGTGGTGCCATAAATGTTAAATATATGTCTTAGGTCTATTCAGTTATTCGAACTTTTCTTTTTTGAGAAATTGCTATCCAAACACACCCAATATCTATCTATCTATCTCTCTCTCTCTCTCTCTCTATATATATATATATATATATATATATATATATATATATATATATATATATACCTATCTGCCTATCTTTGTTCATATCTATCTATGCATCCATTCATGTATCTATGCCTTTGTCCATCTTATTCTATCTATCTATCTATCTATCTATCTTAGTCTGTTCATATATCGATCTGTTTATCTTTTAGTCTGTTCATATCTATCTATCTGTCTGTCAGTTCATATCTTTTTCTAGCTAGCTCGCTAGCCTAACACACAATATCTATCTATATTAGTCTGTTCATATATCTATTTATCTTTTAGTCTGTTCATATCTATCTTAGTCTATTCGTATCTATGTTTCTCTTTATCTCTCTCTCTCTCTCTCTATATATATATATATATATATATATATATATATATCTTAGTCTGTTCATATATCTATCTATTTATCTTTTAGTCTGTTCATATATATCTTAGTCTGTTCATATCTATGTTTCTCTTTATCTATCTATCTATCTATCTATCTATCTATCTATCTATCTATCTATCTATCTATCTATCTGTTTGCCTGTTAGTCTATACCTTTATCTATCTATCAAGTTAGCTAGCTGTTTATCTTAGTATGTTTATTATCAATGTAACTTACAAAGTGTCTCTATCGCGTTCATTTCAAGTCTGATATATTCTTTAGTTCGTAAGTATTTATCGATCTCCTTCTATCTCTGACTTTGCAACTTGTTATCAATAAAGTACTTATTGGGTCCAGTTTGTAGCAGGTTTGCCTTCAGCGTCGACCGTCGTTGTTCCAATCTCGTTAAATGAAGAATTTTGAAACCAGAGACAGACAATCGCACCATGAACGTGTCATTTATTCGGTTTTCTCTCTCTCTCTTCTTGCAATCAGTGCATGCACAAGATTATGAGTTCTGTGACTCCCATAGTGTTTAAATCACCCCAATCAGTCATTCGTCAGTCTATCTTGACTGTGCGAAACTCTAAAACTAATATATGTGTAAGGTCTTAATAATATTCTATCAAAGAAATTTATTGAAAATATTTTTACAATAGAAATACATTCTAAACCCTAAATGGATTGTCAACGCTTTGGAATTAACAAATGAATCACATATTCTTCTTTATGCTATATCCCTTCGGAACATGAACGATCATGGCTCTCCACAACTGCCTATCCTTGGGGTCTTTTAGTAAGGTCTGTTTTTCACAGTCCCTCCCACTCCCTCTTCTGCCATCCATTTACACAATATTGTAACCGTGGGGTTACTTGCTATTTCCTTTGTCGCTATTGTCTTTAATATATCCTGGTGAGTGTAACATTCTCCAGACCCTCTTTCTTCATTAATCCTCCGATAAATTTCAATTGACTCTTTCTGATTCTAAGAATCAGTGTCATTTTTGTTCCCATTTTCTTTAAAACACCCTCCTTACACATCTGCTCAGTTTATGGTATTCTTCTGTAGAACCACACATTTGTGGGCTCAAGTCTCTTCACCTGTGAGAAAATTGTTCAGCATTCACGGTTGGGAAACTGACATTACGACACTTTCCAGCACTCTTTCTTTGTTTCTAGTGAAATTTTCCTGTTTCTCAATACTTTGCTTAGATTATGAAAGGCCTCTTTCGCTAAACTACTGCTCTTTTGGATTTCGTAGTCACAATTTCCGTCTTCTGATATTTAAATTTTCGTACTATGTTTCCAATTCCAGGCTCGCATTTTAGGCGCTTCCTTTTCTATTGACAATAATACATTCTGTCTTCTGACAATTGATGTTTAATTCTTTCATTCCACTACCATCTGTACGAGTTCTTACTGCTTCCTTTCTGTGTCTGCTATCAACACTGTGTCATCGGCATATGTTATGTTGTTAAGATGGTCCAACAATAACAAATTCTGTTATGTTATTTTCTCATGACCGCCTCACTGTAAAAGTTGAATAAGTGAGAAGGCACATTCTTGTCCAACATTCCTTTCTTTTTATGCATATTTACTGAATTCAATTGTTGTGTATTTGCCGAATTATTTGTAGTCTCCTTCGTGCAATCAGTCTAGGAGTAAGTCAACTTTGAATTCTAAACTAAACTAAAAATGATCCCCGTTAGACTATCTTCCCCTTGACACGCCCACTGTAGCCACGGCTGCAGTACATAAAGTTCCCAACGAACTCGTAATTGGCACCTGCCTTGAAAATTGGCATTCTATATCTCGACCTTTAAAACGTCTCGCGTGCAGACTACGTTAGCGCCATAGATATTTCTTTCTATTACTTTTAGTGCAATTTTACCTTCCTAGAGCACACAGTGCTGACCAAATACACTAGCGACAGATTGCGAGTTGAGAATTATCATTATTATTTACTAATCATTCTAAAACATTTTATTTCATTACCCTAAACCGAACCAATTCTTAATGAAACAAAGTGACCACACTAAACTGAATAATATATTACATTGTAGATATTCTTTAATGACATCGTAATAATTAGAAGTTCATATTTTCTTTTCTGAACTGAGATCATTAAATATTATCCAAACCATGGCCCTTGCAACAAAGAAGAAAATGAAAATAATGAGAGTGTGTTGCGCCAGTCTATCAGAGTGGAACGCCTGCTTAGAAAATCAACATTCTCTTACGCACACTAATATATATATATGTGTGTGTGTGTTTGTGCGTTTCAATGAATTCGACGAACAAAGAATATATAGTTTTTATTCAGTTTTTCAAATTTTACACTCTCTCAATTCTCATAAAAGAATAATTTTAAAGACACTAAAAAACAAATTAATACTCCTAAAATATTCCTTATTCGTCGAATTCAATGGAACATGTATGAAAAATATATATATATATATATATGTATGAAAATATATATATATATATATATATATATATATATATATATATGCATGTATGTATGTGTGTGTGTGCGTGTGTGTGCTGATGGATTGTTTGTTTTTTATGCTTGATGCTCCTAATATTTGTAGTTGTTATTTTTTTAAACTTATTTGTTTATTTTTTGTAGGTGCTTAAATGGTAAAGTAAATATTTATTTATATGCCTACATTTGTCCATTACTTCAGTTTTCTTATTTAAGAGTTTATTTTGCTTTTTAAAACTAATTATTGGTAATTTTTCCTCTAAGCATAATTTACAACTTTTTTGCTGTTAATCATGTGCGGGGCTGCTCTTAATAATTTCTCATTTGATTTTGGCGGAGATATTTTTTTCTTTTTGGCCCCATATATATTTTGATAGAGTTCTATAGTTTGTGCACTTTTTTTCTTTCGTTCACGCGTGTTTTTAAAAATTACCATCACAACGATCACAGTTACAATAAGTTTTTTTTCCAATACACCCATGAAGATGATCCCGGAAGAGGTCGAAAGTATTTGGGTAAGAAAAAAACTATGGCGCCTTCCTTGATGAATTTCAAGTTAACACCAAAAAGCTGATTCAAGAACTGGAAAAGATTATTATAAAAATAAATAGACATAATATTTCTATATTATTTAATGAAATGTGTTTAAAATATATATATATATATATATATATATATATATATATATATATAGGCAAAAAAAGTAATCTAAGTAGATCCTATTAATTGTAAATATAAGAACTGATCCACAAAAGAGAGCTCAATAAAATTGTTATTATAGAGCATATAAGTGAATTCCAATTAAGGAAATCCAAACTTTTTACCTCATGCAGATGATCATTTCATCTTTTTTAGTAAATATATTTGTCCAGGGAAAAACTACTTTCCCATGGACGAATGATCATCTGTATGAGGTAAATTGTTGGGATCTCATGAATTGTAATTCACACGCACACACACGCACACACACACGTGTATATATATATATATATATATATATATATATATATATCAAACGTTTAGGGAATCTAAAGAGCGCATACGAATGGAACCTATGCCGGTACTCTCTATAAGCAGTGCCCTTCATGAGTTGGTGCGTAAAGAGAAGGCGAGTATACAATTTTGAGTGCTGGTATAATTTTTTGTCTATATATTTTTCAAGTTTCAATTTAATATCACCCCGTAGATAGATAAATATGAACAGTCTTAGATAGATAGATAGATAGATAGATAGATAGATAGATAGATAGATAGATAGATAAACATGCTGAGATAGATAGATAGATAGATAGATAGATAGATATTTCTTGACATTGTCTTTGTCTTTACTCTTTCTGCTCTCATTCTCTTTCACTAATTTCTTCTTTTCTCTGTCGTTTATAAGCTTTCCTTTTCTTTGGTGATCTTTCATTTGCTCACCTTATTCCCCTTCTTCTTCTTCCTCTTCTTCTTCTTCTTCTTCTTTTCCAGTTTTACCTTCTTGTATCTTATTCACTTTTATCTTCGGTATAAAATTCTCTTTCTTTGTCCGCATGCTCTCTTTCCGTTCCCTCTCTCCCCCTCTCTCTCTCTCTCTCTCTCTCTCTCTATCACTGTTATTTACGATATCAAAATTAATCTTCTCTCTGTCTCTCTTTCTGCCTCTCACCTGTCAGTTCTTTGTCTCAACTTT